ATTATTATTATTATTGTTATTATTATTATTATTATTATTAGTAGTACTACTACTATTAATAATAATAATAATAATAATAATATTATATTGTTGTTGTTGTTAAAATTAATAAAAACAGGAAACTAGGAAACTAACTTCAATGTGTTTACGTCCAGATAATTGGTATTATAACGTTCAGATAATTGATGTTATTAAAAGTTATTTCTAAAGTACATATTATTATTGATTCATTAAAGATAGTTGATTTTATTTAAAGGAGTATAATGGTTAAGTCATGATAAAGTTATTTTTTCTTCATCATAATCCTCCTCCTCCTCATTATCATCATCATCATCATCATCCTCATCCTCGTGATCATCATCATCCTCATCCTCATCATCATTATCTCCATCAATCATTATCATCATTATTATCATCCTCATCATCATTATCCCTATCGATCATCCTCATGATCACCATCATTATCCCTATCGATCATCCTCATCCTCATCCTCATCACCATCACCATCCTCATCCTCATCATCATCATCATCATCATCATTATCATCATCATTATCCCTATCGATCATCATCATCATCATCATTATCCCTATCGATCATCCTCATCCTCATCCTCATCACCATCACCATCACCATCATCATCCTCATCATCATCGTCCCTATCGATCATCATCATCATCATTATCCCTATCGATCATCCTCATCCTCATCACCATCACCTTCATCATCCTCATGATCATCATCGTCATCATCATTATCCTTATCAATCATCATCATCATCATCATCATCCTCATCCTCATGATCACCATCATCGCCATCCTCATCATCATCACCATCATCATCATAGAATTGTGAGTTGAATATATTATTCAAAATATTGTTTTCTAGTATACTTCAATCGATGGGGTTCTACGTGTAGATGTGAATATATGTTTTTATCAAAACCAATACATGTATTTAACACTTACATATTTTTAAAACCAATACTGTATTTATTTTGAAAACCAATACTATGCATGAATGTTATTATTATTTTATTATTATTATGTTGTTGTTATCATCATCATCATCATCATCATCATCAGCATCAGCATCAGCATCATCAGCATCATCATCATCATCAGCATCAGCATCATCATCATCAGCATCATCATCATCATCATCATCATCATCAGCATCAGCATCATCATCATCATCATCATCATCATCATCATCATCATCATCATCATCATTATTATTATATTGTTATTAGTACTCCGTATTATTTAAGTACTCATACCTTGTCACTTTTTGTTACTGACATGATTTAATTTTGTTATTACTATATTATTGATAAAATTACTAGTATTATTAAATTATGATATCATCGAAAGTAATACTCCGTATATTATTAAAATATTAGCACAATCTTACACTAGCGAAAATAAATCTAGATTATTATTATAATAAATAAGTAGTGGATTAAAATGTTATTCTACTAATTTTAGTTACTATATTTATATTCAAATATTACATTGTAGTAACCGTAAAACTTACTAATAATAATAACGAAAGAGGAGTAAATCCTCCGTTTCTATCGGTGTGGGAAACTTAAGCTTTAGAAAATAAAAAGGAAAAGCAGAGGGAGCGCATGCGGGGTTCGAACCCAGGTGAAAAAGGAAGCACGCGCACGGAGTTTCAAATGTGAAGCCACTGGAGCGCATCATATAATTATTAAAACTAGGACTTGAATACGTTATATTACCTATTTGTTCTGCAGAAACAATAATTGAATATCCCTTAACAAAATTCGGTTTGGTTCAGTTTGAACCGATTTTATAACTCAAAAAACCGTGATTAAACCGATTTATGTTCAGTTCCCGACTTTCGGGTCCCATTTAAGTCGGTTCGGTTTTCGGTTTAAAATGACAGCCCTACTATGATGTGTAACAAACTTCACTATCCCTATTTCTTTGAAAAATATAGCACAATAAGTTTGCAACTTTTCTATTTGGTTCTTCATGTGCTGGGGACTGTTTTGCATTTGCAGGTTGGGAAAATAGACCGGCCGATCCAAACTATGCATCATCATCCTCTGTTCTTTCTACCACTACCACCCTTTCTGCCCTCATACTTAAATATAAGCACACCTGAGAAAACCACTGCTATAAAAATCCAAAGGAAGCATAAACCCACCCTCCAGTTCATCCAGTAACTTGTTCTGGTTGTATCTTCCACCATCCCTCCCGGCTGCCATGTCACCTTTCTTGACCCTTCTGTGGAAAGACTCGTCTTTTTCTTCTTTTCTTTATAAAAGGTGCAAGCAAATCATGCTAGGAGGAGTCTAGGACTGTAAAGTTCACACACAATCAAGTTGGGCATTAATGGAGGAGAACCTGCAAGCTAAGTGTTATATATACACAGAAACTCGAATGACTGCAGGCTGTTTATTGAAATGGGTCAATGAAATTCCCGAAAATCACGCGAAGCAGAAAGCTTGGGGATGAATTTGAACAATAGAGTTATGTATTTGGAAGATTATGAGTTCTTGGGTTGGATCTGTCAGAGAGGGGAAAGGGGGATTGGGAAATTATTAATTGCAAGCAAAGAAAAGGTGGGATACCCACTGGGTAAAGCAAGGCAAATGTGCAAGGGGAGGTAGATGCTTTGCTTCTTTTTGGTGCAGAACCAGAACATTACAACTAAATTGAATATGTAATAACTCATGTATTCTCAAGCTAAAGCTACTACAAGCTACCCACTCCCCGCCATTCCCCAGCCATTAAACTCATCAAGATCGAGCCATTATGAACTCCCGAAGAAGTTTCTTATAGAAGCCAGAACATCAGTGGTATAGTTGGAAGCAGAATCATCAAATTTTAAAATGTCAACAATATCAGTAATGTTACATCCGTCTTCATAATCTTCTAGCTATGGAATCAACATATCCTGTGGAATGAATGAAATGACACAAAAAAATAGTCAGTCATTTTCATTCATTTTCATTTACCCGGTGCCACAAAGGCTCCCACCTACGATGGGGTAAGGGGGGTTGGATGTACGCAATCTTACCCCTGTACTAAAGCACAGAGAAACTGTTTCCGGAACAAAAAATAGTCAGTATGTAACATAATAAAATTGCAGCATTTACATAATATTTTTTTAGTTTACCACTTTTAACCTTAAAATTAGATAAATAAATGGCCTACAAGACTAATACGTAAACCAGCTAGAGAAACTATCAAACAAACCCAAATGAATCCAAGAAAACAGAATCAATAAAATTCTCCTAGAAACTACCAATCTTTGGTTTGAGACAAAGCCAGTAAAAAATCATCCTAATCCAAGCAATTGCAAATTTAAACACAGTTCAAATCCCTTAAAAAACAAAATTCTAATAAATACGCAACAATCACCAAACAAATATCCTGGTAAAAGTAAATACACGCAGTGTAAGAGTCTATATTCATAGAACAAGAATCAAATTTAAGATTCAAATCAATCACCGATGCTCCTTCCAACAAAAACAAAAAGAAAATAGCACTTTTAAGTTTCAAGTTCTAACAAATCATCTATATTCCTCATTGCAGCTGCAAAGAAAGAAGAATGAACATTAAGAAATTGGCTCTTAGTAAAAAGAATTATTGGCAACCGGAAGAATGTAAGAAAATTGATGCATCTCCAATCCTAACACAATACGTTTTAGGCATCGACAACACAAAATCAAACTTTGTATACAAATTATCTCAACTACTTTAATCCATTCACTATCATATGCTTACTCAAAATATTTTTATGACGAATTTGGATAACCTACAACACATACTGCTGTGTTAGTATAGCTTCAAGCAAAAACAAAAGAAAAAGAAAATCCTGATGCAAAAATAGAATTGTGAGCAAAACCAGAAGCATAAAAATGCGTATTTGAAAGAGAAATCAAAAACTTATTTGGCCAAATAAGGTCTTAGACCAAGAGCTTGTAAGAAAATTCTAGTACATGTTTATCAAGGAAATCCCTAAATTTGATTTGATGAATAAACCAAGTACATACCGAATTTGTTAGAATTTGCTCAAGCGAAACTTTCAAATGCACGAAAATTTCAATTGATTGGGCGGCTATGTTCCTCTTCCGCGATTATGCTCCTGCAGCTAGGTTTCCTTCGCTCCCTGGACTGAAGGTGCCGTTGCAGCTAATCTCAACTGAAGCGGCGAAGTTACTCGAGCTCTTCCGCGATGATGTCTCGTCGGTCGCGAAGAGCCGTCCTGTGGGTGCAGTGGATAGTAGGCAACCCGGAAGGACTGGTTTTGGTAGAGAGCAGGAAACGGTGAGAAAACCTCCGTTAATGTTTTGCATTCCCGTCTCAAAACGACAAGGACTAAAGTGCAAAATCTTTTTTCTTGAATTGAAGTTGAGTCACTTTATTGCTTATCCACGTGTGAATTTTTTATTTGGCCACATAACCAGGGTACAGTACCCTAAAATTCAATATGGGCACCGTAGCAACCACCAAATATATATGATGCATACCGGATATCAATCTTATCGTGTACCACCATTATCCAATCTAATCTGTCATTAGGGTCACAATAGGACCTCATTTTAAGTTACTCAAGCTTTCACATAATTAGTGATAACCATGGGCGGAGCTAGGGGAGGGTCATCCCTGGCCCTGGCCCGGCCCAAATTAAAAAAATGCCTGTATTTTTAGTGTAAAAAATTCCGAGTGAAAAAATTTCGAAAAATATTCTTTGTACCGGTCCAGTCCGGCCTAGTGCTCTAGCTCCGCCCCTTATCACTGATAACATAAGCCTAAATGAACATATGCAAATTTGAATAATAAAAAGATCAAATAATCAAGACAAATAATTATAAAATGTGAAGCCGTAAATTAAATGTATATATGTAGGATATGATAAAAGGAGAATGTGATCAACTATATGTGTTCTAGCTCCAAAGCCATCTCTAATTCTTATTCTGCTACTATATATCTTCACGTGGAATAACAAACCAGAAAAGAACGAAGTAAAGAAAATAAACAACACACACAACAATGGCACCTATTACAAGATTATTTACTATTCTCAAACTCTTTGAGTTATGGGCTATTAATCCTGCTTTGCAAGAATCACAATTGAAGCAAAGTTTGCTTTGATCATTGTTCCATCTTGAACAGTCGCCACTTAAAGATGATGTTTGATTGCTTATCCAATATGTTGGGCGCACAAAAGTGAAGTTACATCTTTGTGGTGGCATGCAACATCCAGACTGTCAAGACATCGCCGCCAAACAATACGACATCAAGAAAATTAAAGTACTTAATTTGAATATTTATTCGAATATTTATTAGAATGAATTGATGATCACATACTATGCATGTTCTAATCTTCTTGTCACTGGTATGACTTTTTTCATAAACTCCATCCAACCAAAACCACATTTAAACAACATAATATAATTATTAAGTACGTACTCGGTACTCCTCGTTTAGGTAAAGATTCTTAGTTGACTTTTTGGATGTCCCACTAAGACCATTTGTAGTGGTTAGGTATTAGGAGTCCAAAATGTTAAAGATGGAACTTTTGGACTCCTAATTTCTTACATTGGTGACTAGTTGAAGGTATTAAAAATGGAAAGGGGAGGGGAAGGTCTCAAATATATATAGAAGATGAATTGACAGCAAAAAAAAGGAAAAAGGGAGAGAGAGAGAGAGAGTGTGTGTGTCAGTGCCTGCTGGAGTGCTGGACCGTGCCATTCTTTTAAATGAATTTGACTTCATCTTATACAAAAAAACCTTTTTCATTTAAAGCCCGGTAACTTTTTTATTTATATTCCAAATTTTACAAAAAATATATCGAAATTTATAAAATGTTATGATCTTTCATTTGACACCAATATTGCATATATATATATAAAAAATTTAAAAAAATCTAAAATTTTAATGCTGGAGTTCTTAGGCCAAAAAATACGAAACACAAATTTTTAATTCACGAGGCCTTTACAAATAACGGAATATTCCACTTTAGTTGAACTAAGTTCATTTTTTGTTAATAAAGAACGTTAAAAAAATTAATGAAATTTATTTATTTTTACATCGAAATGTGTCTTTTTGATTTTATAAATAATCAGAGAAAAAAATTAAAGGAAAACATTACTTATAGTAATTTAATTAATGTTTTACTAAATTGACATGTAAAAACATATGCAGAGTGTATTTTATTGACGGTGCTGGAATGCAATAATTAGGAGTCAAAACACTGTTTTCATATGGACGGAGTCTATTTTTGACATTTAGCCTCTTGCACCACTCCAAATGGTCTAAGGGGTTCATATTTCTATTTTAGAAATTGGTTAGTACTCTTAAATGACAGCTTAATCATAAAATATTAAAAACAATATACTTATAACATCATAAGCATTATTAATAACTTCATTATATTGTATATCTACCAAAACTACTTCTCAAAATATACTCGAATTACCTTATTTAATTATGTCATTTTTCAATGAAAACCTCAAGTCATGACAGAGGTAGCAATAAAGAAGGTTACATACAATAATCTTCTGGTCAGAACTTCCAGACCGGAACTTCCGTCCTAACATCTCCATTTGAGGTGGTTCTGGGTGGATTTTTTTTTTTTGAAATTTTGTGAGCATGATGTTTTATATGAAGGCTAGATTATCTTCACACAATTTCAGCTTAAATTTGATCAAAAAGTTAGTTAATTAAAGAAATCATTTAAAAACATTGTGCCAAAATTTATATTTAAAAAACATAGTGTTTTTGAGTAATTGATTTATTTAACTGACTTTCCGATTGAATTTTTAGTTAAAATTTTGTGTATATCATCTATACTTCATTAATAACATGTTCACCAAATATCATCATAAAAATGTACTGGCCACCGGGAACCACTCAAACAACGGAGGATGGATCATGGATGGCGGTTCCGGCCGGCCGGTCCAGAACGTAACGAAGTTGTGAGGTGATCGCGTGAACTTTTCTATGTACGAAGTACATACTATTACTTGAATGATTAAATTTGATATGAGTGATGAGATTTCTAAACATATAACGAGTAAATACATAGAACGAAGTAGCATTTATAAAAGGAAAAAAATGTCTCGAAACAATGCTTTTGATGTACGAATCTACTATATATAGTACCTGTAAAGGCGTGAGAGGTGCAGTGGATAGTATTTCGAAGGAGGAGTAATAGGCCGTGCCCAAGGCACTGCAGGGAACAGAATGAGCGAGACAATTTGGGGAGGAATCCTCGTCCCACTTGCCAAGTACCGTCTTACGAAGCCGGGTGGGGAACTGATCCAGGCTGTATTCCTGGCCGTGGTCGGGGGAACCAGCTGCCGCAGGTTTCCCCGGCAGCTTAACGGCCAGGATTACGAGGACAACCATCACGGCCACTAACAGCAGCACCGAGAGGAAGTGGAGGGCGATCGCATCATCTCCCACGTCTTTTTGCATACAACAACAGTTTGTTTTTATTATGAAGACGTAGAGCACGCAGCCGATTACAAACATCGTAACTGCGCATCCGATGAACCAGATTTGGAGGTGTCTAAGGTTGTTGGCACAAGTTTTGTCTATCAAACCGGCGGCCGCTGCCACGAGGCTGCCTACGGCCAAGGATAGTACAAACATTTCAATATAAATTATATTGCAAAATTCAATGGGTCGTTCCGGCATTTTCAATAATTATTTTGAAGCTTATTAATAATATATGTGACGCTAATAATTAAATTAAGAGGTATTGACCTAAATGGGACTAAATAAATCATTAATTGCCAAAATAGGACTAAAGTTTAAAAATCTCCCAAATAGGAGTTATTATTTATAATTTGACAAAAACACCCTTGAAGCTTGATAATCATTCTGCCGCCAACCAGAACTTCGGACCACCGCCGATCGCCGGTCCCCGCCGGTCGCCGCCGGTCGCCGCCGGTCACCGCCGGTCGCCGGACGTTACTGCTACCTCAAAACCAGCCGTCATTGTAGATCTCATCACTGCCGTTGTAGATATGATTGTCGCCGCTGCAGATCTGCCAGACACCGCCGGAGATCTGGTCAGATCTAACCTGCATCGACCGCCAGCCACCGCTATTGTAGATCCGACCACAGTCGCAACTAATCCGGCACCTCCATTGCAAATCTGGCCGCTATTGTTGCAGATCTGGCCGTCCCTAGCACGAATGCCAACATTTTTGTCAAAATGCCAAAAACGAATGGAGAATGCCAACTTAATGGCATTTTCAAAGAAAAATACAAAAAATTTGTAGAATAAGAATGCCATTTTGATGGCATTTTCAGAGCTCAACTTGGCAATTTTTATCAAACAAAGAAGAGATGGAGCAAGTGCAATGAAATAGAAGAGAGGAAGAGAGAACCAGAGAAGAGGAGAGGAAGGACGGGGAGAATAATCTGACCTTCGAAGAAGAGAAGAAAATCTCCACGGCAGCGGACTTCGCAGCGGCGGGGGCGGCGGATCTGACTGGGCGGCGACGGCGATGGATCTGACTGGGCAGCAGCGGCGATGGCTTCGACTGGGCAGCGGCGGCGATGGCTTCGACTGGGCAGCGGCGACAGACTTCTCATCCGTGGCGGCGGCCTTCGAGCTAGGGTTTGCTTGTTCTTGTGCAAGAGGAAAGAGAAGTTGGGTGGAAAGGGAAAGGAAGCTGAGCAGGAGGAGATGTTGCGCAGGGGAAAAGATGGCGTGGGAAAAGAGGGGAAAAAAAAGAAAGAATAAGGGTAAATGAGTAATTTAATCCTATTTAGGTAAAAAAAAATATGCATAGTCCTATTTAGGAATTTCAGGAACATTTTAGTCCCATTTAGGACAAAAAAGTCTTAAATTAATTAATACTATCGTAATAAGCTAAGCTAAGATGGAACAATCTTTCTTTGTGTCTCATCTCATCGATCTCCGCCATATTTATAGCGTGGAATATTAATTAATTCAATTCGCAGAAACATATACCAGCTGGCCTCCAACCAAATGTATTTTATAGTCAAAGCGCATCTAGAAGTAGAAGTTACGGTTATTGGGGGGCATAAGCGCGCATTTAAGGTTTGAGGTAATAATTGTATAACCATAAGAAAAAGTTCCCACTTATATTACTCATGGATGAGCGGTGGACAAAAAATGCGATTTCAAATTGTGTTCAAGGTTTACAATATAACGACTACTTGTAATCACTAAAGATTAACGTCGTACGCAGGGCGGAGCCTGCGCCGGTATATAAAAAAATTAGAAATAATTGTACACAAAATTTTTTACATTAAAAATTAAGTCATTTTTAAATTTTGGGATAGGCCAGAGCCTAGGTTAGCCCACCCCTAGCTCCGCCCATGATCGTACGTAGATGAATATACTTCCTCCATTAATATTGGTTGCAACAGTTATTAGAGACAAAATTCTCTCGTTCAATTATTAGTCCGCTTACATATGAGAGAGAAAATTTCTCATCTCAATTATTAGTCTGCTTATCTTATCTTATACTCAAAAGCACTATATATGAGAAAAAAATTATCCGCTTAAGCATTAGTCCGTATATCTTATCTTATTTTAATTATCTTATCTTATCTTATCTTATCTTATCTTATCTTATCTTATCTTATCTTGTCTTCTCTTGTCTTGTCTTGTCTTGTCTTGTCTTGTCTTGTCTTATCTTATCTTATCTTATCTTATCTTATATACTAAATAAAAGTACTACGTATGAGAGAGAGAGAGCATAATTCACCCGCTCAATTATTAGTCCGCTTACATTATACTTAGAGGTACTACATATGAGAGGGAAAATTCTCCATTCAATTATTAGTCCGCTTATGTTATACCTAAAAGCATTATATATGAGAGAAGAAATTCGCTCGTTCAATTATTAGTCTATTTATCTTATCTTATACCTAAAAACACTACATATGTAAGAGAAAATGTCCCTGTTCAATTATTAGTCCGCTTGTTTAGTATATATACTTAAAAGCATTACATATTAGAGAGAAAATTATTCCGCTAAATTATTAGTTCATTTATCTTCTTATATACCTAAAAAACATTTTTTGAAGTAGTGCTTACGTTATATTTATATTTAATGTCTAAAGTTAATGAACGTTAATGGACATTACATTCATAAAAAAAATTAATGAACGTTTTAGAAGAACCAATAATTACGTAAGCCTCTTTTTTAATGGAAACTCGCATCTATTCATATCATAAGTTTCAGGATCATTATATCAATCAAAGGAAAATCAAATCTGACATCAACTAATCTCCAACAACTACGACTATAAACCCTGTGATTAGACTTATAGACGGTCACCCCTGAAAGAGCAATACGAATCGATAACCACGAAGCGGGCCTGACACAGCTATCCCTGGTCCCATAGATCCAAACACTCCTAATGACATAAAAAAGGCTAAATTTCCAAACAAACTCACAAACCTAACAACATAGACGTTAACAAGAATCCAAATGATAAAATAATAATAACTAGTAGAATAACTTTCACGGACCCTAGCACCTCGTACAATTCATGGAGGAGGCTGTACCATTGGTACCACTCTAATTGATCCTCCTTTGTCGATCGAAATTTGGCCTACTCGAAACCCGTGCAACTCTCCTCGTCCCGTACTAGTAACAAAACCATCACTAGCGGTCATCTTCTTCGCTATCGAGCCCTGTGATGCATTCATCTTTCCTTGCTACCATGCCTTGCTGCTTTGCGTTGCCCCAAACAAAACCCTCGTAGCCGCAACCCTCGTGGCCGAAGGAGAGATAACCTGCAACCCTCGCGCCGCAAAACCCTCTTGGGAAGAGATAACCTGCAAAAGAAGAGAAAGAGCAATACAAGCACCAACCTTCGTGGCCGAAGGAGAAGAATCACCGCAGCCCCAGACACAGCAACCACGTGCCAACATGCACCAAATAATCGCCGCAATAGTAATCGAAGCAACCATGCATGGCCGTTCTTCGTCCTCGACGAAAACGGAGGATTGAAACTCTAGCTAGCAGGGTATAGCCCTAGAGAGAATTGCGTAAACCTCTTATACTCTACTTGGGACAAGAGTCCATTATTGTAATTTTAATTGTATTGAGCATCAAGCCTAATCTGTTAATATTTAGAACCTAAAAATATTGAACATTGTAATATCTGATTCATATCAACTAATTCACTTTTTTTTTCTTTTTTCTTTTATCATTTTTTAAAATATATTCATACTTAACTCATATGATAATAGCAATAATAGTAATAATAATAAAAATAGGAATAGTAATAGTAATAGTAATTATAGTAATAATAATAAACATCTCATACATAGCACTTTTATTATTAGTAATAATAAAAAATTAATAACAAAAACTTCATAACACTTTTATTATAACTATTATTACTGTTGGATAATTGATACCCATATTGTAGGAAAAGGAAAGATTGAACAAGAATGTAAGAGAAGAAGATATAAGTTGTATAATGAATGAAATGTGAGTTTTTATGAGTTATAAGCCTCCTATAAGGAGTATATAGGGAAAATCCGGGTCTGGACCTCTAATACAGGCCTGACAGACCCGGTTACATAAATGGGCTGATAGTATAAAAAGCTAATCTAGAACATTTGAATAATAATGTACAATAATATGAATCCGCTAAACGTGTGTGGGCCGCTGTCCAGGCCCAGTATTCGGCAGACCGGGGGGTCGGAGTCCATATACTCCATCAGGAGTCCCCCACTCCCTGAGTCGAGAGTACTCGAGGCGAAAGGGAGTAGTCCAAACTGTAGCTGCAACGTCCTTCTGTCTTTGGTTTCTTTCTCTTCGGCCGGGGGACCACCACCCTCGTCAATGATGGGGAGGTGCCTCGTTAAAAACCTTTACTAGGAATAAACCCAGTGGGAAAAAATCCTAATAAAGGGAAAAAGAGTACACCTAGCGCCCCCAACATGAAACAAGGAAGGTAGGCCCCCTCCGGTATACTCACTTTTGTCTAGCTCAAACCGTCTTCATCTGGCTCATCTCTCGTTCCTGCTCATGCGTGATATTTTCTCCTCATCTAGAAACTCTGACCCCTCAGTCCCCCAGTGCCCACTCTTTGAGGCGAGTGGAGACGAGGTAAAAATGAGTAAGGTCATCTCTGTACCTACACATTTAACATACATATAAATTTTTTCTTGGGATTTATGTTTCCAATCGAGAGTTTATCACTTGAAACAAGTGGAGATGTGAATTGTTAATGTAATGATAAAATACTTAGTAGAATGGATGTGTCAGCCATTCGTAAGCAACGGTCGCCACTCAAGGAATGACTAAGACCGGTCTTCGTGCCCGACTTGGTCGGGGCTTTGTCGTCATGTCCGACTTGGTCGGGGCTTTGTGCCTGAGAGTCATGGCTTTAAATCCTAGTGATGGGTCTCAAGCCACACTCTACTAGGCATTTGATCATAAGTGCGTGATAGTGTGACATTCGCCCGACAAAAAACTATGATTTAAATAAATATGAAAATTAAAGAGTACTTATCTTTTTAAAGTGGGCTGAATCTGTTGCAAGAACCACGGCCCTCCGTTTTTGTTGAGACTGGTTCTGGACTAAATGTTATCTGCTGCCCTGTTGGAAGTATACTATAGAAACATCAAGATCATAAACACACTTTTTCATTCACTTTTTAAAGAGGAAAAACCCAATATACATTGGATGAAAAAACCTCTTACGCACTCCCTATTTTTATCTACAAGTTGAGCATTTGATAAGTCCGTATTTAGACACGTATTTGATGCGTGTTGGGATTGGATTTTGATGGTTTTCCTAGATTTAAGTTGTTGCAAGTCTTAATTTTAGCTCAAGTTATGTTTAACATGCGTTGGTTCAAGTTTTGTTGCATTTGGAGTCAAAATGAGGAATTTAGAGTTGAACATCGGCACTTGAGGAGCAATCGGGATAATTCGAGATGCATTCGAGAGTGGATTGAGAGCTTTGGAGGTCACCGGGAGGTTCACGATGAAGATTTGATGACAAAAGAGCTCTAGGATTGGCTATGGGATCAAAAGAAGATGAATGAAGCTGGAAAACGACGATCAGGATGACCTTTGGTCAATCGTTCAAGCATATCTCTTTGTATAAGCATCCAATGTACACGATTCAAGTTCCATATGAAAGCCAACTTCAAGGGCTACAAATCATATGAAGACATCATTCCGAGAATCTGAGAGGATCAAGGTGAAAACAGATGATGAAGTCAGATGATCTCTGTTGCGATTTCAGAAAGACACCTTCCACCGTTTTGATCATATCTCTTGATTGGATGATTCAAATCACATTCGGCAAATTGGGATGGATAGAGGACTTCATTATCTACAACTTTCATGAAGGAAGTTTTGTCAAATTCGGACTAGAAAAACGCTGAAAAAGCACGGACGCACGACCGTGCGTAGAAGTACGCACGATCGTGCGTAAGAGCGAAAACGACCATGAAGCTACTGCCATGTACGCACGATCGTGCGTACCAGGCCACGCACGATCGTGCGTACACCCGAGACGCGGATTTCAACCCTTTTTTTAGTCCCAGTTCAGCCCAAACTCATCTGTTTTCTATAAATAAGACCCCCATACCCATATTTTGAGGTGACGAACATTACGGAGAGGCCTAGGGACGAATTTAACACCGTTTTTACACTATTTTCTTCCAAGACCCTGGGATTATTTGTAAGTTCATCTTTTTAATTAATGACAATTTATTCTATTCATCTCAATTCTGTTGATTCTTCAATTATGAATTGTGAGTAGTTTAATTAGGGATTTGGGGTTGATGAAGGGGTTAATCATGATGTATGGCTAGATTCTTGACGGTTTAATTGCATGAATGCCGTTTAATTTGTGTTTGAATAATTTAATTGATATCTCTTGTAACCTAGACTGCAGCTAGAATTACAATTGCATGT